GGCCCGCGCCACAGGGAAAACACATCCGGCCATCCTCGGAAAAGAGAGCCATGCTGTACCTCAGTACCCGCACGGAAAGGGCTTCGCAACGGGCGCAGGCAGCCCCCTCGAGAGCTGCCCGTGCGTGCTCCATCCCCAAACATGAGACACACATCTCATGAGAATCTCCATCCGTGATGTACCGAGGGCAAGAAAAAACACACCTTCTGTACATCTGGTTGCCGGACATGCTGGTAGACTTCTTCTTCAGGTAAGACACACTGCTTGTAGGACTGGAGCTTTCTTCAAACAACATACAGCGCGCCTGCTGAATAGAAAAAAGCTAATGATGAGTGTGTACAGGTGTGCTTTATACTCCTCCGGTTATTCCGTCACACCTTACCGTTCTAGCAACAGGCCAATAGGATTGGAGTGATTTCATTCACGTTCAGACCTGCTTCGCCTAGAGGCGTTCCCATAGTGTCGTAACCGACGCAGTTCGAGTTCCCTCGAAGGGGAATGATCGGGCTCACACACTGTGGGTCGCCGGCGAGTTTTCCCTGGTGGTCCTCCGCTTCAGGTGCCAACGGGGACCTACGCATAATACTGGCCACCAGCCCCGAGGGGGGTTCCCTTGGTGGATTTTGTAGAAGCATGGCGGAGCCTTGCTAACATTTCCCCATGGGTCCTGCACACCGTAGTGGATGGCTAGAGGCTGCAGTTCCGGGGCCACCCCCTGCAGAAGTTCAACGGGGTGGTCTGGACTGCGGTGCACGCGGGGCAGAGCCAGGTGTTGGGACAAGAAGTTCGCTCTCTGCTGGAGAAAGGGGCCATAGAACTCATTTCCCCGCAAGTCAGGGAGTCCGGGTTCTCCAGCCAGTACTTCATAGTTCCCAAGAAGGACGGAGGATTGCGTACGATTTTAGGTCTGCGGTCCCTGAACCAATCTCTGAGGAGATTCAGGTTCAGGATGCTCACCATCCCCGCCATCATCAGTCACATCCAATCCAAGGATTCCAGTCGGCCTAGCACTCTCTCCTCGCACGTTCACCAAATGCATGGATGCAGCTCTGGCCCCGCTGAGGCTCCAGGGCATCCACATATTAAACTATATCGATGACTGGCTCATCTTGGCTCAGTTTCGGGAGTTAGCAGTTCGGCATCAAGATGTCGTCCTCGCCCACCTTCAGCGTTTGGGGCTGCGGCTCAATGCGAAGAAGAGCATGCTGACGCCCGCCCAACGGACTACGTTCCTAGGGGTGGTGTGGGACTCGACGACAATGCGGGCCCACCTGTCACCTGCACGCGTCGGGTCCATTTTGTCCTCGGTGACCAGAGTGAAGCTAGGCCTCACCATCACTGTGAAACACTTTCAGAGGGTGTTGGGTCTCATGGCGGCAGCGTCTAGTGTAATCCTATCTGGCCTGCTGCACATGAGAGCCCTGCAGTGGTGGTCAAAATCCAAGGGATTCTCCCCGAGGGGAAATCCGTTCCGTCTGATATGGGTTACGAGCAGGTGCCTTTGTTCCCTGTCAGTATGGAGGAAGCCTTGGTTCCTGTCCCAGGGTCCCCTGTCCCCCAAGTGGTGGAGTTATTATGCGAAAGGTTCGGTCCCATAGACGTGGACTTGTTTGCGTCTCGAGAGACTACGCACTGTCCACTGTGGTTCTCCCTCTCGCCCCCAGCCATGCTAGGGCTGGATGCCATGGTGCAGACGTGGCCGAGGCTGCGCCTGTATGCCTTTCCTCCAGTCGCTCTGGGGGTTCTGGAGCGGGTCCGTCAGGACGGTGTCAGTCTACTGCTGGTTGCCCCGTTTTGGCCGGCCCGAGTGTGGTTCTCGGACATAATATCGCTCCTCGAGGGCCCGCCATGGCAGATCCCCCTGAGGAGAGACCTGCTTTCTCAGGCGGAGGGCTAGGTCTTTCACCCTTGCCCCGCCCTGTGGAGACTGTGGGTCTGGCCCCTGAGGGGGCCCAGTTCTTGGAGGCGGGCCTGACGGCGGGAACAGTCGAGACGCTGCTCAGCTCCAGAGCCCCGTCCACGAGTAGGACGTACGGCCTGAAGTGGAATGTGTTTGCCACCTGGTGTAGAGAACAGGCGGTGGACCCAGTTACCTGCCCGGTCACTACAGTACTGGAGTTCCTCCAGGACCGTTTCTCTGCTGGCCTTTCCCCATCCACAATCAAGGTGTATGTGGCTGCCATGGCGGCATTCCACGCCCCTCTGAGTGATGGGCCTCTGGGGAGGCTTCCACTGGTCGTGCAGCCCGGAGGATGAGACCCGTGACTCGTTCCAGGATTCCCACTTGGGACCTGGCGGTGGTTCTCGAAGCGCTGGCTGAGGCCCCCTTCGAACCCCTGGAGTCGGCTGAGGCCAAGCACCTGACCCTTAAGATGGCCTTTCTCCTCGCTATCACCTCTCTGAGGAGGGTGGGGGATCTCCAGGCACTTTCGGTTTCTCCTCGATGCCTGGAGTTTGCCCCGGGGAGGGTTAGAGCCATCCTGCACCCTTGTCTGGGCTATGTCCCTAAGGTTCCGTCCAGTTTCTAAACACACCATCAGCAACTGGATCGTTCAGACTATTTCCCATGGCCTATGAGGTGCGCGGTTTGCCTTCACCTATATATATATATATTCATCCATCTATTCGAGGCATGGCGGCTTCTAGGGCCCTCCTCGCAGGGGCGTCGCTCCAGGATTTGTGTGACGCGGCTGGCTGGGCCACCCCTCACACTTTCATCCGGTTTTACAGTCTGGACCTTCCTTCTGCACCCAGCACCCGTGCGCTCTCCTCCTAGTCATGCCGTCAGGTTTTGCACGCTGGGGGCAGGCGGGGTTTCAGCGCGGCCTAAGTGGGTATCTCGTTCCCATAGTCTCGTCACCGATGCAGTTCGAGTTCCCTTGAAGGGGAACGTCTCAGGTTACGTATGTAACCCTTGTTCCCCGAGAAGGGTCCGCCACACCTCACCCCTGGAGTGCCTTGCTTCATAGAAAAGGGCTAATGTGCCGGCGTGCTTATATACCCCTCCGGTTACGCCGTCACACACTACCGTTCTAGCAACACCAATAGGATTGGAGCAGTTTCATTCATAGTTCAGCCCTGCCACGCCCAGAGGCGTTCCCATAAAGTCGTCACCGACGCAGTGTCTCGTTCCCCTTCTCGGGGAACAAGGGTTACATACGTAACCCGAGACGTTCCATTCATTGAGCTACGGAAAAATTGTACACGGATCCTTTTGAATCAACGTTATCGTGGTAATAACTGTTGCATGGTGAACTCGTTAGCTAGCACTATCAAACCAACTAGGATATTAAGCATTAGCTAACTTAATCTTACCTGTCCAAAAAAATAGGCCCACCACTTAAATTTACTTACATGTGAATGCTCCCACTTACACTTTGAGCTATCCAGTCGAATGTCCAGTCCGATCCAGTCGAGCGGGAAAAAAAGCTGGCTGGTCTCCCACCTCACTGCAGGCAAGTAACGGACATGATAGACTTCAGGAGGTAACACTAGCTTTCGAGTTGAAATCAACACTCTAGAGTTGAACCATCAATATGACATTTAACTCCCAGTGACAACACCAACTCTTTTTGAGGAATAACTCTCTTGTAGTTAAATTAGATTTAAAAAGAGTTGAAATGACTCTACATTTTTACTCTCAACTCTAACACTGAAAATCTAACACTTTTGATTTTGCTGTGTATACATTTAATAATATATTTAATTTGCTGTGCAACAGGTTTTTTATAGAATGCAGTTTGCTTTGCTTGTTATCTATCTATCTTATTATCTGTATTTTAGCAATTTCTGTTTAATAGAATTATTTTCCTTTTTAAATCTCCATGAACTTATTGATAAGATCACTTTAAAATATCACGGTTGCTGCCCAGCCTATGTTTGTTGCCTGTATCTTTTATTATGGACATGTAGGCAACCAAACCACTTGCTTTGCAGTAGTACAGTCAGCCAAAACAATCTGATTATTCCTAAAGCATCCATGAACATAATCTTTACAACGCAAGAACTATTGTGGCAGTAACACAGGAGCAACTCGTTGTTGAAGCCCAACGCTGCTTGCAGCTTTAATACAATGTTTGTATTTCACTGCGGGAGAAAATTAATGTGTGGCTTGACAGCATGTGAAAAATGTCATTTGTGTGAGTCTCACGAGACAGCTTTTTACCTGACAAGAAATACTGTCACAATTCAATCTTGCGATATCTCGTGGCGTGAGATCTCGTCATACCCCTATTAGAAGGTATATACCTAATACCTTACCTTAAGATATAAAGGTATATATCAATTTAAAGGTACAACATTTACCTTTGTGGTAAGACATGCTTCTCAACATCTTCACTGAAGAAGGCAAGGGTAGTGGAGGCCTTGTTGTCATTGGCAACACTGAGAAACATTATCTATGGGAATAATACAGAAAGCTCCCCATCTAACCCTGAACCACATACACATGTTTATGTTGTTATGTGTTATGTAAGTTTGATTTAGGTTGAAAAAACATGAAAATAATGACCTGAACTTTTAACTACATTGTGTGTCCATATTAAAATTATACAAAAAGATATGCGGTAAAGACTGAGAACTTTCCACCCACCATCTGTTGTCACGGCCACAGGTGAGCCATACGCCAGCTTATTAATGATCAAGCAACAGAGCAAACAGGTGTTTGCCCACTGACAAAAAGAAAGTAAAAATTTTATCTATTAACAAGTGATTTCATTGAAAAACTACATATAGCCCCTTTAATAATGACCAATAATGAAAACCAATGCTGGCTCTGGTGTCTATTCCACTTATTGTCTGTTGTACAGAGTGAGACGGTCCAATGAAGCATAGCAGAATATGTCAGTGTCCTTTTTGATTATTTGCTCCCTGGCTTAGCACATACCCTGACTTCCTTTTCTGATTGGCTCATTTAGTATGTTCTACATCAAGTGACGCAACATTATCATATTTTAATCCCTGTTTCAAAATTGAGTGTGTGTGTGTGTGTGTGTTTGTAGACCTGGAGGAAAATGTCAAGAAAGAGGCAGAGAAGAAAGACTCAAGGAGAACTGCTGACAGACCCAACACAGGCAGGGATGATATGAAAACAGACGTGGTGAGACAGGAGGAGGTGGAGCGCAAGAGGCAGCAGGAGGAGCCTAAAGAGGAGGAAGGGAAAAACAATCCAGGAGGAGCTGCAGGTTCCCTGCTGAGATCAGGCCAAAACTACGCAGACAAGAAGAAGCCCGAGGGCCACACAGAAAAGCAGCAACAGCAGTGTCAGAATGGTATGCACTCCTACAGCTTTTTACACCTGGGAACCATTCCAGTGTTAACACACATTTACATTTACTCAGGTACTGTACCTAGGTCATTTTATGTGATTTTACGTTACAATACATCGCTTTAAATATATTTGACAGATATTGGTTAGTTTGCAGATTAAGATTTCACATAAATATTTTGGTGATAATACTACAGATAATACTGTAGTTAAGTCAGATTTTGAATGCAGGGTGTGTGCTTATAGTAGTACACTTACACTTACAATTACAGACACAAAGTGTTTCATCTTGTAAAGTAGCTTTCTCAAGGAACAACATACACCTCCACCAGTGAGAAATAAAGGAAACTCATCACTTAACAGGACTGATACACAAAACTCTGTAACTGTTTATAGAACATCAGTTCTCCTCAATCATAAGCGAAAGTAGTGTGGATGCATGGGGGCGGCCGACCCAGGGCCCCCTACGTAGGCCACGAAGTTTATGTCAGTTGATTGTAGACACGACCGCAGGATATAAATGCATGCAGTTAATATAACATAAATACAGTTTTTGAAAAAATCAGAAAGCTATGTGATCCACCTAAGAAGGACGAAGTGGCTTTTTGAGATTCTGATGTTTTAGAAAGCTGCACAAGTTGCAAGAAGTGAGGACTTTATATGACACATACACACACAGCTCAAAGCTCAAAGACTGGAATGTGATTATGTTAACAAACTTAGATTTTGTTGTCTGTGCAGACCTGCAGGCTGACTGCCCACTGATCCATTACTGCAAGAGACCCAGCTACTGTGCCAGCTCCTATCAGCTGGTCAGGTCAAAGGTCACGGAAATGCGGCCCATTGATGACAGGAGAAAAGCCAGGAGACTGCAGCACATCTCCCTGCGTCGCCGAAAGTGACCTTATAATATAGAGTGTCACACAGTGTGATGTCACATCAGAAGATTTTAGTACATGATAAACAGTCTTTGTTTATAATTACATATTGCAGCCTTGTATTCAAGTTGATCTTCTTCATTTTAATCTCGTACACTGTTGCTGCATCATCACTGCCCTCTACTAGTATTGTCTCTCCCCTTTACCACTGCCAACACCTCTTGGACTATCACGTCCTTTAAATCTCGTCAACTTGTTTTTTTGCAAAATGCATTTTTAGCAGTAATTTGACTGGTTGCTCTGTATGTTCAACTGTAGATCAGAAATGTGTTATGTGCTCTTGGAAAACAGGGAAATAACAAAGTCTAAAGTCTAAAGTCTAAACGCAGTCCAGTCACTTCAAAATATAAGAACCATAACAACGACGAGGAAAAGCCTCTATTTTAAATGAAAAAAGGCCAACATGCTTGGATCACTTTGGTTCTTCATCAGGGCCGTTTTCAGCCCCGACAAAACATTTATTTAAACGGAAACTGTGGTGCCTTGAACAACCTGTTGTGTACGCTAGCGCACTGCCCTTTACTGCCTTTTACTACGGCTATGTTTAAATACTTGTCGCAGCTGATTGGGTTACACCTCTGACACGCCCACCAAAAGGGAGAAAACATCCCATATGGAAAAGATATAGATAAATTTTACAAAATGTTTATATATTTTATGTGAAACTAAGTACGTAATATATACACAGTCGAACAAGATACAAGATCCATAGTTGTGTAATATGAGATAATTTGGGAACTTGTAAGTTCTATATATGACAGTAAATCCACATACAATATTCATAGTAGATATGTGTAACATCAAAGTCATATGAGTTGTGCAACAATTAGTGAAACCGAAATCCTGTAGTATTGTATAAAAACCTTACAAGTCACATATATGAGACATTAAATTACATGATAAGATGACCAAAAAGAGTTTAGGGTATTTCTAAGCTTTATTAGCAATTGTCTGGTTTTTAGCTGACACTTTCTTCAATCTCAACTTGTGAATTTTCCTAAAATGATTACATGAGTTTTATTTGTTGTTATTTATTTAAGATTGTATGAGCAATTATATCCAATAAAATAGGCAAAATGTATTTTTATTTACACAGTTAGATTTTTTAAAGTTCTTGTGTATGCATAAAATATTCAAAAGCGCCATGTAATGTATTCAATATTAAGCAAAATAAAAGGACCCACTCACTCATTTCCTGCCGTAGAAAGATTTAAATTTTGCACATAATTGGCATATGACATTATACAAGTTGCATATTTACATTTAATATTTAGAAAAGGCAATACATTTTTCTTTTACATGTTTATAAAGATGCTACACTAATTGTCTTGCCCCTATACCTTGCACTTGTGTCCTTTTGGATGTTAATGACATGCATTGCAAAATGTATTAAAGTAGAATAAATTTTGTAGTAAACTTTTCACTCTGCTATGTGCCGTATCAGTATTTTTACATAGATTTTACAGAAAAGGGTTTCTCACATTAAATTACAGTAACAGTAAAATCAATTAGTTACTGGTCAGCTCAGCAACCCTGAAAGAATAAGTGACCATCTTCACATTTAGTTCATTTACAGTAATATGTCTTAAGTAGCCGACATACAGTTGAGCTGGACTGTGGACACTGAATATACATACATGGTCTAACTACCTGAGCAGTGTTTATGGCTTTGTGAACGCCTGTGGGAAAGTGGACAGTTAACATGTAGCTCAGCGGAGTTCTGATAAGAGAAACTCTGACTAACTAATGCACTATGCAATTACCATAGTTTCCTATAGCATATAAACACTCATCACCCATGTCACCCATGTCATTAAAGTGGGAGACTCTGCCACTCTGAAAATACTCCTATCCTAAAAGCACAATAGAGTTTTTTTGTTTGTTTGTTTTGCTGTAGGTATGACCATTAACAACTTCTCCATTTACAGCAATTCTCTTGCAGTAATTTACCACATAGTTTATGGAAACCTCTCTCACTTTGTGGAGGGCAGCTTGATCACTAAAAGATTAATATCTTACATTTGGTGCACCTAGGGCAGTCACCTCAGTGAACTTTGCAAAGTTCTTGACATGATGCTTTTTGGTTCTCATTTCATTACAGAATCTTTAACTTCTGCAGGTGCATTTGTTAAAAATAGCGTTGCTAAACGGGGAAAAGCATGGGATAAAGGCACTCGTTTGCATATTTGTTGTGGTACAACTTGACTACTTTTTACTTGTTCCATTGAAATCTTCAAACATAAAGGCTGAGGGGGCGGCTGTGGCTCAGGAGGTAGAGCGGGTTGCCTGTTAATCGGAAGCTCGGCAGTTCAATCTCCGGCTTCTCCAGGCTGCATGTCGAAGTATCCTTGGGCAAGATACTGAACCCTGAACTGCCTCTGGTGGCTGTTCTGCCAGTGTATGTTAGTTTCTGGTGGAACACTTAGGCTCAGTGAATGAATGTGTGTGAATGGTGAATGCAAATGTAGTGTAAAAGTGCTTTGAGTAGTCGAAAAGACTAGAAAGGTGCCATACAAATACGGAGCATTTTACATTTACAAAAGACCACAATGGCCAACACTTGCTTAAATGCAGAAGTGAATGAACACCACACATTACTGTTTTATTTTATTTTATTTATTTGGTGAACTAAAACACACACACACACACACACACACACACACACACACACACACACACACTTATTGTTTTATTATTTAATTTAATTAATTAAATGAACTGTATGAATGTATTGTTTTTTGTATTATCCCTGAAGCTTTGGCAATATTGTTCTTGTGAAGTTTATGACAGTAAAGCTGCTGTGAATTATTTTGGAGCATTATAGCCTAAATTGTTATCATTAATTACTAGAGCAATGATGGTCTACATTGTCATCATTTAAAGTGTTATTTTATAGTGTAAAGTTAGGATCACAGTGCTAAAACTCTATAGCTCTGAGTGTACGTGCTCCTTTCTGTATCTAACTGCCCAGGCTCAGCAGTAGCACGTGTGTGTGTGAGCAAGCTCGTGTGCTTTGGGAGAAAAGGGAGGGAGCACAGTAAGATAGCATCAGAAACACTTGAAAAGGAAAATATAGAAGCAGATTTTGTGAAAATTGTATTACAAAACATACATCAATATAGTACAGTAACAATGTCCTGTTTCTAGCACGGAGCACAAACAACACCAGTTTATTCCACAAAGGTCAGGTTATGGTTGAAATGGCATGATCAAGCGGAGTGCATGCAAAGGACACAGAGAGGAGGAGCAGGCAGTCAGGGAATTTCCCAGACCCAGGTGCAGTAGGAAAAAGAGCCAAGAGATGATGTGAAGCCACGAAACAGAGCTATAAAAGGAGGTCCAAAAGGAGGTGAAAGTCACTTGTTACATGGTTTTCATGTCGACTCAGGTCTCTGTTCTGGTAACAGAATGGGGCTCTATTTTGCACCGATCTCTGACACACTCCGGTGGAACTTTTGTAATTGGTGTCTGTTTTTGTTGATAATAAAAATGTTGGTAAAAGTTCAAGCTTTCTTATCTGGCCCAAGTCTTGAATTTTTACATGACATTACTTGGCGAGCTAGCCACGAGAGTTGAACAGGGGCAGGATGACCTTGACCAAGGACGGACAGACTGTATCTCAGAGACACATGCGAGCACTTAAAAAGCTAAGCAGAAAACCATTTTCTAAGATTTCTGCGTAATAGTGTGTTTCTGAGTACAGGATTCTCCGCCCAGGTGAAGTTTCTGAAAGCTTCCTCACTCTTGAACCTAGTTAAAGTACAAAAATAAATTAAGGAAAATTGTTAAAAATTGAACTGAATTTGCTAAAATTTACTAAAAAAGAAAAAGCAGATACAGATTGAGAACCACTGATGTGTCAGAGATGGGTGCAAACGTATGATTGATGCAGGCAGGAGCTCCATATGTGTGATTGTAGTGTTTGTGCTAAATGTTTGTTAACTGTGTTAACATGAGCACGAACCGTGCGAGGTCCCTATTGAAATTTTTTCTTTTTCCTGCAAAGTAAGCAAAATTTTGGGGGCCAAAACATTCGTATTTTATGAGTTTCGCACATGGGCGTGGCAAAATGACTCGCTAGCGCCACCTAGAAAATTGGAAAAGATTAGCCCCTCATCCACGTTCAACCTACATGCGCGAAATTTTCTGGGGACATGTATCATGTCCAGACGCACAAAAAAGCCTCAAGATCCCATATCCTAAACTCAACAGAAAGTCGGCCATTTTGAATTTTACGGATATTTTTGGATGATTTACACACTCCGTACTTTAACAAACTCCTCCTAGGCATTTTGTCCGATCAACTTCAAATTTCTGCTGTGCCTTCTAAAGGCATTGACGATGAAAAGTTGTGCTATCTGTGAGTTTTCATCAATGGGTGTGTCTGTGGCGTGCCATGAAAGATCAAGTCTTCGCCATGACACAGGAAGTTGTTGTAACTTCAGTGTACATGCTCATGTCTCTACCACATTTCACACATTTGATGAGGGTCACGCTCTGAACACATCTACTCACCAAAATTAACGTAGATTCATAGCGCCAAGTGCTATGTAGCGCTACAAAGGGGACACAGGAAGTAACGTATAACACCTTCAAGCAGCGTCCGAAGTACATAGCAAATTCACAGCCGGATCGGCAGAGCTCCAGAATATGCAACGTGGCCGCCTCACGCCCCAACGTGCTACACGTGCGAGGGCCCGCCCAACGCTGCTTGCAGCTTTAATTATTATTTATTATTATTAGTTAAGGTGTGCTTTGTGTGATTAACTGTTCGCTTTGAGTGTAAATCACGCAGGCTAATTGAGGATAATGAGTAAAAAGACTTTAGGCTTAGAGTTCTAGAAAGATAAGAGTTTTCCAGTCATTCTGTGGCTACCGCTAACTTATATCACAGGATTTCAACCGAATGTTGGGGCTCTTCGATGGTAGGTTAGGACTGCACGGGCAGCTGTACTGTAGCACGTTTCCGCTAGGAGCCTAAAATAGGACTGCGGCAGGGTAGGAGAATAAAGCATGCTTAAAGTTAAAAGAAGTTTACACTCTCATGTCGAGGAAGTGGATTGAGTAGTGATTTTTGAAGACAGATTTTGTGTTGAGGAAGTGTATCAATTCTGTCTAAGCCCTCATGTCAAGGAAGTGGATTGAGAGGCTATTTGTGTGTAGACTGGTTCTGTGTCGAGGAAGTGTATCAGGTCAGTCCATTAAAAACCTAGGTAATGTAAATTGGGTCAGAGTTAGGGACCGGCAGGAGTCAGAATAGAGAAACGTACATGCATGTAAATATGGCTGAAAATATAGTCGATAGCTGTGTGTTAACAAAAAATGCATCTAAATGTTAAAAAACTGAGTACCAAGGCCTAAGATAATAATACTAAGAGTTTGAGTCTTGAAGCCTCATGTTTAAGACCATTAGATAAAAAGTATAAAATAATGATAGTTGAATAACTGATCTAATGTTAAACTAACATAAAGCTTAAGGATAATAGATGAATAGAGTTGATATGGCGATATAAAAAGTATAAGAAGTTGATGGAAGGAGTTATAAAGTAATAGATATATGAATATATATTGATAAAATAGTTAATGTGGACTAGTATAGTGTGAAAGACGACTTTGATGTAGTCTGTGATCAAATTGTGATATAGTTATGTACAAAATTAAGTTCTGAAGTAGCAGTCGAATAATAAAGACTGGATGAGAAAAGAGAAAAAAAGGAGTTCACACTTAACAGAGAGTGCAGCGTGGGAGGGGCACTGAGCAGGAGCTGAGGTGCAGCTGTGTCTGTGTGAGGGTGAGTGTGTGTGTCCGTGTGGGGGAGGACGGCAGGCTGAGAGAGAGAAAAGAAAGCCGTTCAGCCCTAAACCAAAAGTTATATGAGAGTTTTGTGATCTGTTGCACCTTTATAGTATAACAACAGCACTTTATAGCAAGTTACTCATGAGTTAATAGTAACAGGAGTTATAAAAGTTTTTTGAACCAATAACAGCCTGACAGTAAGCAGATTAGTAAAAGAATGGCAATGACTGCTGGATACGAAAAACAAAAGTGTAGTTGAAACAGCCTACTAAAGTATTATGATAATAAAGGAAATTTAGTTCAGAATAACAGGCTGAAGACACTGTTTGGTCGGAACAAAACTAGAAAAATTATGACATCTGATAAAGTTTGCAAATTTATAGAAACATAGAAA